ACAATTAATACCAATTGCTCTGGACAACCATTCATTTCCAACACCTCTTCTTGGCAAAATGCCACATATAACAGGGTGCCCCCCCTTCTTCCTAATTATGTCTATTGCTGTCCTGCATGTCTATTGCTGTCCTGTTATGTCTATTGCTGTCCTCATGTGCAAGGCCCACTCAAATCAAATTGTGTGTGTGAGGAAGTGCCCTGGCTGGTATGTGTGGGGAAGTACCCTGGATGGTGTACATAAGAAAGCAAGAACATTGGAGCAGACCTGTTGGTGCATACTAGGCAGGTCCTTCACAAACCATCCCACTAACAGAATATTTGCCCAACCCAGTTTTTAATGCTTCGAAAGCAATAAGCTTTAATAATTCTATTCACTCACGCACAAGTCCCACTCAAATCAAATCATGTATGTGGGGAAGTGCCCTGGCTGGTGTGTGTGGGGAAGTACCCTGGCTGGTGTACATAAGAAAGAAGGAACAGTGCAGCAGACCTGTTAGCCCATACTAGGCAGGTCCTTCACAAACCATCCCACTAACAGAATCGTATTTGCCCAACCCAATTTTCAATGCTTCCCAAGCAATAAGCTTTAATAATTCTATTCACTTATGAGCAAGCCCCACTCAAATCAAATCGTGTGTGTGGGGAAGTACTCTGGCTGGTGTGTTCCTTCTTAAATTCTGTAGTGTTTATCACCTTCTTTACCAAAGGGCTGGCACCAGGAGCCTTCTTTCAGCCCATAGTGGCTTATTAAGCGGTTGCAAGCACTAAAACGAATGGAATATTATGAAATGTATCATATGAATGCATGGGATAATGCTCACTAGCTGATAAACAATGGCACACTGACTGTAAATGGTGTGTCGGGCCTCTCTGACGAGTTTGAGCCGAATGACTATTACCAAGCTAAATGATGATCACCGAGCCAATATTTTGACGAAAAAAATTACGATTACTGAATATTACGAAATCCGACGACTGCGATATCCTTGGGTCCACTGTATATGGCATGGATCTTGAAAGGGTTAAGCTTTGATGAATCACTGAAAAGTCTTCACTCATCACGATTATGAAAAACATTTAGGGTTGCCATCAGATTATTGCTGCTGTTGGAGGCTACAGCTTTACTTACCTCATAATTTTGTAACATTTTAAACTTAAGATTTAATATAAGTCTGCCCAAAATGCCTAGCCATGCTAGGCGTTCTAGTGGTACACTCTGTAATTATTATTTTACTACATGTAAACCACACAATAACCAAATTCTGTAAACTCAGCATTGTAATCCTTATAGAGAATATGGTGAAGAATGTCACAAAACTTACTCTGACATTTTCAGCTAGGTGATATCACTGCTGCAGTCTGGAGCCCAACAGTTCAGCTTTACTCTGTGGCAGTTCTAAATCTCAGAGAAGGCTATTTAACCCTTAAACTGTCCAAGTGTAGATCTGCGTTTTCACTGCCAGCGCTCCAAATTTTTTGAAAAAAAAAAAAAAAAAAAGAATAAAGAGGGCATTATTCTACACATTATAAGATGAAAAAATTTTTTAGGGTCAGTACTTACCGAGATATAACCTTGCGAAGTTGCTGCTGAATGCTCAGGTGACTGCAACATGGAGCACTGATGCTTGCAGAAATGTTAAAGATTTATCATTTTTTTTTCAATTCTTTTGTAATTTTTGTAGTTTTTATGTTATGATAATTATGTTTTGTTGCAGATCTTTTGATTTCATAGCCAATTGTTGTTGAGACACAAATGTTTAGTACGTAATTAGTAATCATGCTGTCACAAACACACATGTTCACACTGATAGATGAATTTGTACACCTGGTTCAATCACATACTATTGTTTACAAATACTATATATGAGGTATTTACAGGTCCCAGTTAAGTTTATAGAACTCCAACATTGTATGATACTCCATGAAGCACGGATTCATACAGAGTGCCACCCCACATTGCTGACATGTGAACCGTGTGTCTTTTTGCAGTTGGGGTTGCCTTGTAGTGTTAGCACACACAACACTTTTTCTGAGAATACTTCTTTTGGATAGATGGTATCTGTATCAGGCAGTGACAGTTAGGGAGTATGTATTTGGTCTGGCACTTTCCCCTTTTGTTGTGGTGGGGGCACAGGTTGCTGTTGAGGGACAGGTACAGGTGTGGTACTATACTTTTTTACTATCTGCTTTATGCCACTGAGGGTGAATTCCGCATAGCATTGTCGCTTCCCGGTCTTTATTTTGTACATGTTAAAGGCATTGAGCATTGCAGTGTCTACAAGGTGGAAAACACTTTCATGTACCACTTGCGACTCCTATGCACACAATCAATGAACCCTATTTGCATGTTACACTTGTCAACTTTGTACCGTCTCGTTTCTGTGGATGGTTGACGGCAATGTCACGTCCCGTTTGTCATGCCACGTCAGTGCCATGATGTCATTTGCATGAGACACTTGCATTGCACCTTCAGCACTGCCTCCAGTGAACCTTGGCATGTGTTTTCTATTTCTTTTCACTATTCCACATATATCTGTATTGTTCACATGGAGGAAATCAGCCAGCATAGAGCTTGTATACCAGTTGTCTGCGAACACTGTCACTGGAAATGCCCAACATCTGCCTGGTATTGTTGAGTATATTTTTCCCTGTGTAGATAATGACATCCAACACAATTCCAGTCTCACAGTCATACATAAATGAGAGTTTTATACCAAAGCAGTTACATTTGCTTGGTGTATGTTGTTTGAATGACAGTTGTCCCTTGAACAGAATCAAGGACTCGTCAACAACAATGTTCTTGAATGGATAAAAGTAGTCACTTAATTTTTTATTCAGATACATACAAAGTTCCTGGATTTTGTATAGAATGTCATTTCTGTTGGGCATATTTCTGTCTGAGAAGTGCAACATTCGTAGCAACAGAGTGAATCTGTTGCAGGGAAGGAGGTCATGGAAGACTGGATTACAGATGAAGTAGTGTGTGGACCAGTACTGTGCTATATTGTGCTTATATATATGTGGCATAAGCATGGCAGTGCCAAGGATTAAATTCATTTCGGCCACAGTTGTATCTTTCCACCTGCACAAAACCTACAACATTTGTCAGGGCTGATAGTAATTGTTGGTCTGGGTGACAATCAAGTTCATTATAGGCTCATCAAAGTATAGTTGGAAAAAGTCTAGCTCTGTAGACTCATTTGTAATGGAACATTCTGGCACGATGCCACTTCCACTGGCATCAAAATTGCAAGGACGTGGCCCGAATGGTGTACTTTTTGTCCAGTTCCATTCATGGTCTGGTGGTGCAGGGTGGACCTGTGGCATGGGGCGTGGGGGAGCAAGAGGAGGGATGGGAGCGGAGGCAGCACATGGTTGAGGGTGGTGCCAGGCTGTCTTTTGTCTGCCCACACACCACGCCATGCAGCCCAGGCACCATGCTACCCACCACCACCACTTCCTCCTCCTCAATCCCCACATATTCTCCTTCATGATCATACATATCACTATCAGTGGCCAGGGTTTTTGATCGTGACCTCCCATGGCCCTTGCGGACTGCACATCGCACAATGCATAAATGTAGGTGACAGTGCCTAAAAGTACGCTCACTGGGGAATAATGTATATCACTATTACTCGATGAATCCTCTAAGGGCATAAAATCGATCGCTTATATCACTTTCACTATCGTCATTACCAAAACCCTGGGAAAATGATAATTTCCTCTTGCATAGTTGCCTCTGAGTAGTAACATTAGCCACCCCAGAGGTGTTTGGCCAAGGGTCTGGTGTGGTCACACTGGCCACATTAGCCATACTGGCCACCCCAGAGCTGCTGGGCTGAGGGTCTGGTGTGGCCACACTGGCCACACCGGAGGTGATGGGCTGAGGGTCATCTGGGTTATCATCAATATTTTCACTAATTCCTTGAACACTAGTGGCCACATTGGTGTCAAATCCACTAAACTCGTGTTCTGTATCATTTCCTTGAATAATAGAGTGTTACGACAAGGTGTGAGTGAATCATGAGGGTTTGCCATGATGTTGACCCAAGATGGTGCTGAAACTAACACTTGCTACCATGCAGTACCATGGGGTCCCTGATTTTTTTCATACTGTGCACACTGAGTGTGTAGGCCCATTCTCTCATGTCTAGGCTGCTCAGGCCTATCGTGTCAAATTTGAAGGCAGGAAAAATAAAACATTGATCTACATTTCATAGCGGTATTAACGTAGATCTATGTTTGGACAATTAAGGGGTTAATTCATTCTGAGTTATGTGTAGTTTAGCAGAGGTTAAGTTACAAACATATTCAGGGTCTTGTGAAGTTAAAGACTGACAAATGTTGTAGGTTTTGTCATTCTTCCTCTGATTCGAGAGAGCACGAGTTTAGGGTTTCAGGAATGGGTAGTCCTTTGCCATGAGGTGCTGGGCATATAGCAGAGGGTATATTAGGGTATTGTAGAGTCCACTTTTTTCTTGCAAATACCTTTGTTGACTGAAGGCATCATGCAGAAGTAACAGTTACTTACATGATCTGTTGGCTACCTTCACACCATTGACACTACACAAGGAATATATTTCCTTTTCTGATTCAATAGCTGGTGAGGGTTTGTTGCACAAGTATTGCAGCATATGTGTGGAGCCCAGCTCTTGGCCTGATCTCCAGTTTTACAGTCAAAATAAAGATGATGGGCTCCTTAAGTTTCTAGCAATTAATTTTTTTTATGAAAATATTCTATGGTTTTAAGAAGTTTGAACACTGCTACATTGATGAATGTGTTAACCTCTGTCTGTTTATCTTGAATTTAAATTGTTTATATTCACTTAATTGTTGTAATATTGTTGATCTGACTCTCACTAGGAGTTTTTGTTCTACTAATTATTGTAGAAAAGAATTATTTTTCCTAAAGGGCAGAATGCTGTTATTGTTATTTCTACATTTTCTAAAAATTAATGCAGCAGACAGTATGGTAACACTTTCTTGTGAATCCTTTAGATTGGAAGGAGAAAAGTCATCGCTGGAGAGAATAATTCATAGTGAATGCATGAGAAAAGTAGCTGACAGAGAGAAGAGTTGTGAGAGTTGTTGCAGTGCAGCCAGCAGCACCAAGGCATTACAGAAGGTGTCACATCAACCCAACAAACCTGCCTTAGAAGCGCTGCATGAACTAATAGCAACCTTAGGCCAGCTGCCACCCTCAGCTGAAGAAATTATTGCTAAACTCAAGAATCAAGTACATTATTTGATTCAAGTAAGTTATGTTGAATAATTTAAGTTTTTGGAACTATGTGGATAATGTTAACACTAAAAATGTAATTACAGTAAGAATTCAGTATAACAGACTAATAGGAAGGATTGTCTAGGTGTTTGTTAAATCAGATTATTGTTCAAAACCCACAGAAAATAACCACTAAAGTAAACTACTGTATACCTATTAGAGCACTGTACACAGTTTACAGATATACTGCAATAAGCATGGAATATAAAGGAGTCAACATTACAGTAGAAGTAAGTTGATAGACAGCAACCACCCAGGGAAATACTACTATCCTGCCAAATGAATGCAAGACAGAAACCTGTATTTGTTTTACATGATGGTAGGAATGCTGATGTCTTTTTTATGTCTCATAAACACATAAGATAACTGGTATATCTTGCTACATTTACTTACAATTGGATCACACTACACATGTATGTACACATTTATGTATACACTCATCTGAGTTTTCTTTGTCTTTTCTTAATAGTTCTTGTTATTATTTTCCTTCCATATCCATGAGGAAGTGGACTAAGACTTTTTCCTCCATAAGCCACGCATGTTGTAAAAGTCAACTAAAATGCCGGAAGCAATGGGTTAGTAATCTCTTTTCCCATCCAGGAAAGACACGATTGCGGATGTTATGAATGAAAAGAAGCTGGATGTCCTGGTTCTAAGTGAAACAAAGTTGAAGGGGGTAGGAGGGTTTCAGTGGGGGGTAATAAATGGGATTAGGTCAGGGGTTTCTAATAGAGTTAGAGCCAAGGAAGGAGTAGCAATAATGTCGAAGGATCAGTTATGGCAGGAAAGAGGGAATATAAATGTATAAATTCAAGGATTATGTGGATGAAAATAAAGGTGTGATGTGAAAAGTGGGTTATAGTAAGTGTTTATGCACCTGGAGATGAGAAGTGTAGAGGAGAGAGAGATTTTGGGAGATGATGAGTGCATGGGAAGTTTTGAACCAAGTGAGAGAGTACTTGTGGTGGGGGAGCTAAATGCTGAAGTGGGTAAAACTGTTGTGGAGGAAGTAGTAGGTAAGTTTGGGGTGCCAAGGGAAAATGATAATGATGGGGGGGGGGGGCCTTTAACTGAATTATGTATAGAAAGAGGTTTGGTAATAAGTAATACATATTTTAAGAAAAAGAGGATAAATAAGTATACAAGATATTATATAGCACATAATGAAAGTAGTTTGTTAGACTATGTATTGGTGGGTAAAAGGTTGATGGGTAGACTTCAGTATGTGCATGTTGATAGAGGGGCAACAGATATATCGGATCATTATTTATTGTAGCTACAGTTAAAGTAAGAGGTAGATGGAGAAAAAAAAATGGCAACAGCAAATAAGAGAGAGGTGAAACTTTATAAACTAAGGGAGAACGAAGTTAAGGTGAGATATAAACAACTGTTGGGAGAAAGGTGGGCTAATGAGAGCATAGGGAGTATGGAGGTTGAAGAGAGGTGGGATAGTTTTAAAAATGCAGTGTTAGAATGTGGAGCAGAAGTTTGTAGTTATGGGAGGGTGGGTGTAGGAGGAAAGAGGAGTGATTGGTGGAATGATGAGGTAAAGGGTGTGATAAAACTGAAAAAGGTCACATATGAGAGATTTTTACAGAGCAGAAGTGATATAAGAAGGGTGGAGTATGTAGAGAGTAAAAGAGAGGTGAAGAGAGTGGTGAGGGAATACAAAAGGAGAGCAAATGATAGAGTGGGTGAGGCGCTGTCAACAAATTCTGTTGAGAATGAGAAAAAATTTTGGAGTGACAAATCGGTTAAGAAAGCATAGGGAATGACTGGATTTAATGGTTAAAAACAGAATAGGGAACTTAATAAATGGGGAGGTGGAGGTATTGGGAAGATGGCGGGAATATTTTAAGGAACTGTTCAATGTTGATGAGGAGAGGGAGGCAGTAATTTCATGCATTGGCCAGGGAGGTATAACATCTTGTAAGATTGAAGAAGAGCTGGATGTGAGTGTGGGGGGCAGGTGCATGAGGAATTAGGTAGAATGAAAGGGGGTAAAGCAGTTGGAACTGATGGGGTCATGTTAGAAATGTTAAGAGCAGGGGGGATATAGTGTTGGAGTGGTTGGTACTTTTTTTTAATAAATGTTTTCAAGTGGGGAAGGTACCTAGGGATTGGCAGAGTGCGTGTATAATTCTTTAATGTAAGGGAAAGGAAGGGGGTAAAAAAAACTGTAAAAATTACAAGGGAATACGTTTACTGAGTATACTTGGTAAAGTGTGTGGTAGGGTTATTATTGAAAGAATTAAGAGGTAAGACAGAGAGCTGGATTGCAGATGAACAAGGAGGCTTTAGAATGGGTAGGGGATGTGTACATCAAGTGTTTACATTGAAGCATATAAGTGAACAGTATTTAGATAAAGATACGGATATTTTCATTGCATTTATGGATTTAGAAAAGGCATATGAAAGGGTGGATAGGGGAGCAATGTGACAGATGTTGCAAGTGTATGGAGTAGATAATAAGTTAATAAATGTTGTAGAGTTTCTGTGAGGCTAGGGAGGCTCAGGTTAGGGTGTGTAGGCGAGAGGGAGCTTACTTTCCAGTAAAAGTAGGCCTTAGACATGGGTGTGTAATGTCACCATGGTTGTTTAACATATTTATAGATGGAGTGTAAAAGAAGTAAATGCTTGGGTGTTGGGGAGAGGGGTGGGATTAAATTATGGGGAATCAAATACAGAATGGGAGTTGTTACAGTTACTTTTTGCTGATGATACTGTGCTTTTGGGAGATTCTAAAAGAGAAGTTGCAAAGGTTAGTGGACGAGTTTGGGAGGGTGTGTAAAGAAAGAAATTTGAACATGAACATAGATAAGAGTAAGGTAATGAGGGTATCAAACGAGTTAGGTAAAGAAAAATTGGATTGCACATTGGAGGGAGGGAGTATGGAAGAAGTGAATGTTTACAGATATTTGGGAGTTGACTTGTTAGCAGATGGGTTTATGAAGGATGAGGTTAACCACAGAATTGATGAAGGAAAAAAGGTGAGTGGTGCATTGGGGTATCTGTGGAGACAAAAAACGTTATCCATGGAGGCAAAAAAGGGAATGTATAAGAGTGTAGTGGTACCAACACTCTTATATAGGTGTGAAGCATAGGTTGTAAATGTTGCAGCAAGAAGGAGGCTGGAGGCAGTGGAGATTTCGTGTCTAAGGGCAATGCGTGGTGTAAACATTATGCAGAGAATTCGTAGTGTGGAAATTAGGATGAGGTGTGGAGTTACAAAAAGTATTATTCAGAGGGATGAAGAGGGGTTATTGAGGTGGTTTAGTTTTTTAGAGAGGATGGAGCAAAATAGAAAGACTTGGAGGGTGTATAAATCTGTAGTGGAGGAGAGGAGGGGTAGGGGGTCATCCTAGGAAAGGATGAAGGGAGGGAGTAAAAGAGGTTTTGTGTGGGGGCCTGGACATGCAGCAGGCATATGTGAGCATGCTAGATAGGAGTGAATGGAGACGAATAGTTTTTGGGACTTGACAAGCTATTGGAGTGTGAGCAGCATAATATTTTATGAAGGGATTCAGGGAAACTGGTTAACTGGACTCAAGTCCTAGAGGTGGGAAGTACAATGCCTGCACTTTAAAGGAGGGGTTTGAGATATTGGCTGTTTGGAGTGACATCTAAACTGTTAAATCTGGGCACCTCTGCAAAGACAGTGATTATGTGTGAATGATGGTGAAAGTGTTTCTTTTTTGGATCACCCTACCTCAGTGGAAGGCAGCCGGCATAATGAAAAAAAAAATACAATTTATGTAATGGATTTTGTCTGTTATTTCAAAAGTTCATTATATTAACCCTTTCAGGGTCCGTCCCGTAGATCTACAGTTTTACGTTCAGGGTCCAAACCGTAGATCTACGTCATGAGCTCAGCTCACTCTGATAAACTGTGAGTGGTAAATTTGGGCCTAGATATGAGAGAATACATCTATGTGGTATGTGTGCACCACATAAAACAAATCCTGCAGCACACTGTGTATAATGAGAGAAAAAAAACTGAGACCGTGATTTTCGATTAACCCTTTCAGGGTCCAAGGCCCAAATCTGGAGTCACGCACCAGTGTCCAAGAATTTAAAAAAAAAAAATTTGTTATTTTTTCTTATGAAATCGTAGAGAATCTTTTTGTGAAGGTAATAAAACAAAAAGTACGAAATTTGGTGGAAAATTGACGAAATTATGCTCTCGCGAATTTTGATGTGTCAGCGATATTTACGAATCGGCGATTTTGCCGACTTTGACTCCCATTTTAGGCCAATTACATTATTCCAATCAACCAAATTCTTAGCTATTTCACTAGTATTACATCTATTCTATCGATTGAGCACAAGAAATCGCCAAGTCAACTGTTTCAACTACAAAATAAAGTGATCGGAAATTGTTAATTTGGCCAATTTAACACAAAGTTCAAAATATTCCAATTTCAAAATAGGGTCCAGAATGAACAATGTAGGCATTCCTGGCACTAAACTAACATTTCCTCTGTTCATTAGTTATGTTTTGAGGCTTTACAAATAAATTCCATTTTGATTTTTTATTCACATAATGAATTTTTATTCACACCAAAAAATAGAAGATTTACTGTTATGCAATACTGTAATAATTGTATAAATATCATCACCATATTTGTGAATGTATATTAGACCCACCAGTTGACGTGTATTAGATGTGTGAGGTCGTTTGTTTACTCTTGAATATCGGCAAAAATTTAACATTTCCGCTACTTTGAGCTCAGTTTCAAGCCATTTCCAGTGCTAAAACCAATCAAAATCATCTCTATTTCTGTAATATGTCTTCCATTCTATCAAATGAGACCAAGAAATCGCAAATACAACTATAAAAAACATACGAAAAAACACTGCAAAGTTGCTGTTTTAATCGAAAAATCATGATTTCATTTTTTTTCTCTCATTATACACAGTGTGCTGCAGGATCTGTTTTATGTGGTGCACACATGCCACATAGATGTATTCTC